ACAGTCTTTCTTTAACATCCTTTTCTTACATTCAGACTCGTCACAGGCGTGGACACAAGCTCCAGAAATGACGAGGAAGAGGACAAAAGACAACAGAACCCTGATTTGGGTTAAAAACGGGAGGAGGAAGGAGAAAGAAGGAGGTCCAGGCCCTCCTCCTGGTCCCTGGGAGCCTCCTAGGCTTTGATCTTTGGGGCGGTTCCCTGCGGGTGGAGCTGTCTGTCCATCACAAACCGGACCAGCTTCTTGACCCAGGCGGAGCGAGGGTTCAGACACACCTTCTCCCCACTGGCCAGGCTGGCTCTGCACAGACACACACACACACACACACACACACACACACACACACAAACAGGGGGTGGGGACCACGGTTAGAGCACCTCCAGCATTTAACATCAGACACAGCTCGTTTTTTTACTTTAAACCTGTTTTAAATGTGTGAAAATAAGAAAACAAACTGCTTTTCTTACTCCAAAAGTATTCATTCGGACTGTTATTGCTACAAAGAAATGAGAAAAATGCTATTAAACGGACCTGTTCTCTGCTTTTGTCTGCAGTCAGGATTAATCTAAATGTTTTTTTTAAAGAAGCAGGATTACTCCAAAAGCATTGATTCTGACTGTTATTGCTACAAAGAAATTAGAAAAATGCAATTAAACAAGCCTTTTCTTGTTTTTTTTAAAGAGGCTTGAGTCCAACTCTGAGCTAAATATTCACAAAAATTATATTTTCCAATAAACTGAAACTTTACAGAATTCTGTTTTCATTTTATGTTCCTGGAAATGGAAAAAAATAACACACGGAGTGCCATAGATAACACAGCTCGTTTTTTTACTTTTAACCGGTTTTATATGTGTGAAAATAAGAAAACAAACTGCTTTTCTTACTCCAAAAGCATTGATTCTGACTGTTATTGCTCAAATAAATGAGAAAAATGCCATTAAACAAGCCTGTTCTCTGCTTTTGTTTGCAGTCAGGATTAATTTAAGTGTTTTTTTTAAAGAAGCTTGAGTCCAACTCCCAGCAAAATATTCCCAAAAAT